TGGGTAAAGTGGGCTGGGTAGAGGCAATGGGGAGTGGTGAGGACCATGGGGAAAAAGATGAGCACACATCCCCAGTTTAAAGGGAACAGTTGCTTTGCTGTTCCAGCTGACCACTGCCATGTGTGGATACATGCCCAATTTAAAAATCCAGATTTACATGTAAAATACACCTATAAAAAAAAAACAAAAACACGCCACTTTAAAAAACACTGTGTGGACCCTATATCTTGTCCCTGTATGTACAATTGGGCCCGAGTCCCACAACTTTTTCTTTATCCACAGCACTCCTTGCAATCCTCACCCCAACCCTGTGAGGAAAATAATTGCCAGATCCTAGTCACCCATTTTACAGATGAGAACGTGAAGGTCCATATGGGTCCAACTCCAAAGCTCACACTCTTTTTATTATACCAGCTCTTCCAAACTGATTTATAAAACTCCATAGTGCTGCTTCGTCTGTTTCATATTTGGGCTTTTGAGGAAGGTGTTATGTGAAAGGATTTCCACCGTCTGAAAAGCAAGCAGAACTTTGGATCCACAAGGTCCAATAGCGTGCTGCCTGCTTATTTGCACGAATTCTTTGAGGGGCGCCTGGTCATCTTGCCCCTCCCCCAGAGCTACCTGCTAAGCATGCTAGGATTTTTGTTGTCACCACAGACTGAATGCTTTTTCTGATTAGCAAACATCCCCTTTACAGAAGGCGTGAGTTAAAGACTGGGGACAAGATCCTCACACAAACTTGGCTCCTGAAGGTGACCCTGGAAACAAATTTTGTGGCACTGATTTTGTGGATGAGAACTTCATCAGTGGCCCTGACTAAAGAGCAAAATCCCTTCCCTCATTCCGTCAGTGACACTTGAACCTCTGCCAAGGGACTTGTGATGAAGAGCTTGGTCCCTGCCCGGGAGGTGGTCAGGTGGTGAGGACACAGCATGATGGGCGTGAGGAGGGAGGCAGAGGGGCCGTGGGGAGGACAGGGCGGCCCCATCGGCCACACAGGGGAGGCGTGATGTTGAAGCTGGATCTTCAGGGAGGCTGGGTGGGGGCTGCCAAAGATGAGGAAGTGAGGAGGAAAATGGAAAGCCATGAGATGGAAACAGGGGAAGGGATCACGTTATGTAGCAGCTGGGGACCGGGGAAAGACTACGGATTTTCTTCCATGTTCAACCAACATGTCATTCATTCAGCAAATATTTATGAAGAGTTTATTATGTGCCAGCCACTGTTTTAAATGCAAAGATAATAGTTGAACAAGACAGAAACGGTCCCTGCTTCGTAGAGCTTACAATCTAGTTGGGGGAGAGGGGGACAGATTATTACAGATAATCAATGAAGTCAGTAATATAACTCCATGTGGTAGTAAGTGCTAGGAAGAATCGAAGCTCTGAGGAGCGGGCCTGTCAGGCTGTGCTGAGGGGCAGAATTTGGTGCTAAGCATACAAATGCAGTTAATAAACGTGTTTCAAATAAAGGTTTGGCCTCCCTTTATCTTCTAGGTCTAGGATCAGAAAACCATTGATCCACCGGCCAAAATTCACTCACCACCACCTTTTGTATAGCCATGAGCTAAGAATGACTTTATTTTTAAACAGTTGAAAAAAATGAAAAGAACATTGTGTGACACATGAAATTATATGAAATTGAAATTTAGTGTTCATACATAAAGATTTATTGGAGTACAGCCACATTCATTGAAGTGTTTTCATATATTATCTATGCTGATTTGTGCTTCAAAGGCAGAGTTTACAACAGAGTCCGTATAGCCTGCAAAACTGAAAATATTTACTATCTGGCCCTTTATAGAAAAACTTTGCCAACCTCTATTGTACGTCCTCCTAGTACTCTACAAATGCCTCCTCCAAATCTAGCCCACTATGCCCAGAAAAACCCTCACTCTCCAGGGAGGTGGAGGTGGGGGGTGAGGTGGATGGAGAGCAGAAGAGAAGCTTCTGTTCAGAATACTCTTCCATAAGCTGGGCAGGGGCTCCCCAGCCTGCAGGCCCCTGGCCTGGGCTCCTCTGGTGTTCAGTCTGGGACAAGCACAGATCTTTGGGGGCCCCTGAGTTACAGAATTCCCTTCCTGGCAGGTGATCTCACTGGAGTGGGACCAGACCTGCCTCCTTTTTGAGCTTAAGATTTTCTAGTACATTGAGACAGTGGGATTCAAAAACAATGACACCAAACTATATTTATTGGCAAGGAAATATATCCATGACTTCTTGAGTAAAACACAAGAAAAATTCAGTTGCAGTGCCATATGCACTCCATTAATTATACATCAAATTGTGTGTATGTACTTTTACATGTGTATGAGAGAGAATCTGAATGTTGGATCTCCCGGTGTTTACAATGGTTATCTCTGGGTACTGGGATCTGGGATGGTTTTTTTCCTCCTCACTTTCCTCTTTTTTGTACTACTTGGGTTTCTTTTTAAGAAAAACATTAATATGAATCACCTTAAATCTGTGCAGAAAAACTCAGTTATTTTAATTTCAAAAAATAAATAAGAATGGTTGCATCTGCATGTGGGTGATAGAATTATTTATGTGGTTATGATGTAGCTGTTAGAAAGAGATGCATCTCCATATAGCTCACCGCTAATTGGAGCAGGGGAGTGAACAGCTTCAGAATAGGAAAGATAAATAAGAACATGGTGGGAGGTGAGAAAATATGTAACTGTTAGGAAATCTGACATGATCATCATTATGAGGTATAGAAGATTCCCAATATATAAATCTCCTTGCTTCCTTATTAGTATTTGGAAAGATGGGGGTATAGATCTTTTCCTGATTTTTTTCCCCACTCCCCTCTATTCTGTCTTGAGAAACTATAAATTGGGGTATTTAAAAATAGTAAGTTGGCTCCACCTAGTGCCTGTGCCTTGTCATATCACCCTGGGTGCCTTCGTGGAAGCCTTCCTTCAGATTCTTTGATGTCCCTGCTCTGGTGGCACTTGTGCGGCAGGCAGCGCGATGCCTCCCGGGTTACTGCAGGGCAGTGGGAATGCTTCATTAATTTCTCTCTTCCTTGCTTTCTCAGTTGCACAAAGCAAACCTCTCTGACTGAACCGGAATTGGGCTGCTGAAGAGCAAAAGGACGCTTCCCTGTCAAAACCAATCTCTGCTTTTATCCAGCAGCCAGGTCCTTAAAGCTGGGCCATGCTCCTCTGGCAGGAAAGCCATCCTGCTCCCCAGGGCTGCCTTGGGTTTGGGCTCTTGAGTAGGAAATACAGGAGTCTGGCTCATGGTGGGCTCCTCAGAGATGCCAGTGGTCAGAAGCAAGCTGTGGTCCCCCGGCCATGCTCCTACGCCCCAAACCAAGAGGTCCTCCTCACTACCTTCCCTCTCTCAGACCCCTCCCCACTCAGCACATCACCAGGCCTCTTGGTTTTACCACCTGTTAGCTCTAGAACCTGCCATTCTGCTGCCCGTTGTTTCTCCCTGGTCTACCAGCAGTTGGCTGTCTGTAGCACCTCCTAACAGGCTCCCTCCTCCACTCTCAGCTTCTTGGGGGCCTTCTACACTCATCAGAAGCTCAAGGGATCTTTGTAAAGCACCAACCTGATTGTATCATTCTCCATACAGATCTTTCCAGTGGTTTCCGAGGACTCTGGAGACAAAGACCAGAATTTGCATCTGGCTTGTTGAGGCCCCTCAACTCCAGCAGCACCTGGCGCCCTTGTCTGTGCCTTGCTCCACCCCCCCAGGCCTTCCTCCTGTGGTCCCTGCACCTGCCCTCTCTTCCCCAACTCCCACCTGGTTAATCTCCATGCATCTCTCAGCTCTTGGTTAGATGAAACTTCCTCAAGGGAGCCCCCCCCTGGGTCCCACAGCCCATGTCAAATCCTTCTGTGATATGCTAGGAAGAGACTGCCTGCCTCTCTTCCCCTCCATCCATCCTGTCCTGGCGTGTAAGATCAGCTCTGCATGTGTTGTTCTTTACTGACTCTCCATCTTCCCCTTAGACAAGTGGTTCTCAGCCAAAGGCAGTTGGCCCCCCACGGGACATTTAGCAGTATCTGGAGACATTTTTGGTTGTCACATCGGGGAACAGGGGAAAGTGATGCTACTGGCATATAGGGCTGCTGCCACACAGTGCACAGGACAGTCCTGAAGAGCAGAGATTGGTCTGGCACAAGAGCTCGGTGGTGCTGAGGCTAGAAACCCTGCTGTAGACTGTAGTCCCCATGAAGAGAGAGTCCATGGTGCTGGGGGATGGACAACCCTAGGAAAGAACACATTCTCTCAACACTTTAATAGGTTTAGCCATAGATAAATTTAGATCCACCATGTCCCTTAGAACCTCCCAGCTACAAGGAATAAAGAGATGACTTAGGCTGACCTTTCATTAAACCCCACATCAGGGTTTTTATTCGGGGTAGTAATCCTCTTTTGTGTGCCTTTGCTCTGAAATTACGTAAAGTTTCATTTTAGATTGTATTTATTAACACTCTGATCTGTTTACAATAAAATTTCATCTACAATTTTAGTTAATTGGGACAATCCACAAGTCAAATGGCCTGGCTTCTTCAAAAAGTTTGTCATGAGAAAAAGGCCGATGACTGTACTAGATTAAAAGAGGCTAAAGTGAGGTGGGGCATGGCTGTAAACCATCTTTTGGAAACTGGGGAAATTTTAATATAGACAACGTATGAGATAATATTTTCAAATTAATGTCTATTTTCATAGATATGACAATAGTATTACGGTTTTATAGGAGAATGTCCTTATTCTTAGACGATGCAGGCCAGAGTATTTAGGAGGGAAGCATCAGAATGTCTGCAACTTGCTTTCAGTGTCTCAGCAGAAAAACAGGTGTGTACATAAAAAGGAAGGGAGATCAGATGTGGCAAAATGTTAACAGTAGGTGGATTTAGGTGAAGGAAGTATACGGATATTTCCCATGCTACTCTTTGAACATTTCAAGATTGACATCTTTAGGGGCACACGACTGAGTGTGTTGTGCCGGAAGCCCACTGAGGTGGCCATGCATGTTTTCAGTCTGCAGCTCTCCACCCATCCACATGAAGGTGCAGCCTCTGAACCAGACGGCACTGCAGGTGTCCTGGAGCCAGCCAGAGACCATCTACCACCCCCCCATCATGAACTACATGATTTCCTACAGTTGGACCAAGAACGAAGATGAGAAGGAGAAGACGTTCACAAAGGACAGCGACAAAGACCTGGTGAGGCCCCTGTTCTGAGTTGGGGTGGCACCCTTGCAGTTATGAGAGGGGTCCCCTCTGTGCCCCTTTGTCAGGTACCACACGGCACACTTTCTTGATGTCATCCCAACCTATTGCTGCCTGGTGAGTGTGGGCACTGCCGTGGGCTGTGCTACTCTGCAGTGGCCACCAGAGTGGACAACGGGTGGAGCCTGCCTGGGCTCAATCCTGGCCTCACACTTACCAGCTACGAGACCAGGAAGAACCAGTGGCTTTCTTTGTATTGGACTCTTTGAAACTGACTGCTTTTTCTTTCAATATTGACAAAAGGAAGGCTCCATTAGGCCCTTTTCATCTGATAGGGTTATTGTAAATGAGTTATGTAAATGTTTGACAGGTCACGGCACATAATCAGCACTATGTAAATATTAACTATAACTTTTATAATTATTCCTCCTTCTCCTCCTCTTTCCCCACTACAACTACTACTACTAATATCACAACCGCCATCTGACTGTCCACGGTCCCCACCACTTCCTTTTGTCAGTTTCTTTCTGCCTTACCCATTCCCATTACCTGCTGGCTTCCTGTGACCCTGTAACTTTTTACCTCTGTTCTCAGACACTATAATATCTGACCTCACTTTGAGCTACACATGCCCAATTCAACTTCTCCTTTTAAAATTTACATAAATATTTAGTGTTCCAACAGCCAACAAGGCCCTTCAGAAGAAATGTTTGTAGAAGTCTTCTTCTTCCTCTATAAATGCAAACTCTTCAACAAGCACTAATCTTTAAGTCTTTGCATAGAAACTCAAAGTGACACATTTGGGTTTGAAAGCCTTGCATTTATTGTTAATCAAAGGAAGGCTGTGGAATAATGAAACCCATAATTGTATATGCACATGAAAAATGCAGTAGCACAGAGTGGGATTCTTAATGACTGTTATCACTTTTTTTCTCTCAATACAGAGTCCTCAGGGCCCATTCAATCAGTTGTAGAATAATACTTTTCGTATTCCTTTAGATGAAGATTCTTTTACTTCATTTCCATTTATATTTTCAATTTCCCCACTAGACATTGTTATCTGGGTCACATTAGGGAATGATGAGGTTCATGAAATCAGAGAGGAATCTATTGAAAGGCACCCAAGGTTATGATATAGTTTAACCTTCCTCTTGTCATAACTGGAAGTCCATAAGGGGTATTTCTCTTTGTGAAGTAAGGATAGCTTGCATTAATCAGCCGAAACTATCTAGGCACTTTATGCAGTTTCTTATTCTAAGTGGAAAATAATTAAACATGCAAAGATGAATAGATACCAGCTTGTAGTGAATTCTAATAAATCTCTGTATAGATGGAGTGAAGACTTTGCTCTGAACAGGAGATGGGGTCAGAGGTTTAGAGAATGAGGCATAAATTAGTTTCAGAGAAAGAGATGTAGAGAAAAACATGCTTTGACAGCAAGTTCTTTTTTATAAGAATTTCTAGGGGTGGTTATTTTCTTTGGGGAGACACAAAATTAATTTTCTTAACTCTTCAACAAGTCAAAAGTGCTGATTTAATGGCAACAAAGCTATTCTCTAACTTATGGTTATTGTGGCGCAGAAGCCTAAAAGTACTACTTAACATTTGTGCAGCATTTTCTTATTAATGTCCCTCTTCCACATCCTCACCACAAACCTGTGGGGCAGGTGTTATTACTCACCTTTTCCAAAAGAGATAAATGAGGCTTAAATTTAAATTACACGATCCTAACCTGCTGCTCTCACCAGGAAGCCGAGGCATTGGCAGCAGGTGTGGCCACAGTAACATTTTAATACCAGTTCAGAGATTTTCAATAGCTACATTGGGAAAACCCACTCAGTGGTTAAGCTCACAGAGCTGCTTTCTATACTTGCCCAGAATACACGTTTCGATGATAAGGCATCTCATCCATTAGGAAGAGTCTTTGAAAATAAGTTGCTTTTGTTGTTTGTTTCTCCAGGGCAAGTACTGCTTGCTTTTTAGGTATTTTCATTTTCTCATTTTTATTGACTGTTGGAATGAAACTTTGAAGAATGGGGACCTGGATTTGCCTGGTATGTTTGACCAGGGATTGGCAAACTTTCTCTAAAAAGGGCCGGATAGCAAATATTTTAGGCTTTATAGGTCACACAGTCTCTGTTGTAACTATTCAATTCTGTCATTGTAGGGTAAAAGCAGCCACTAACAGTATGTAAATAAATGGCTGTGGCTATGTGCCAATAAAACTTTATTTACAGAAACAGACAATGGGCCAGATTATGCCTGTGGGCCATAGGTTTCTAACCCCTGTGTTAGACTAGTGGCATTCTTTCTGTGGCTTGGTGTGTGGTCTACCTATGGACAAGCTTTGCCTGGCCTATGTTTTATAGTTCTCACAAGAACCTGTGACTCTCCCTGTTTTACAGTCGAAGGTAACAGAAGCTAAAAGACATTGAGCACCTGGCTGAGAGTCACACAGCAGGTGTGTAGTATGACAAGGCTAGATCTCATGTCATCTGACCCCCTAGCCTGTGTCATGCCCCATATTATTTATAGTCAAGATACAAGGAGGCCTTTAAACTGCAAAGAAACAGACACACAGAGATTTTTTTGATGAAGTTCTAAACTCTGCCTGGCTCTGGAGACTCAGTATGCTTGATAGTTTTGGAGGCCATCTAGGATAAATAATTATAGTTTATAAGGTACAGTAATTATGCCATAAGTCCAGGCCTTGTGAGTATAAAGAAGGCTAAAGATACATTCCAAGCCACAGTCAAGAATGATGTTATTTTATCCTGCACATGCCAGTATTGAAAACAGATTCCCAGGCAAAGTCATTTCTGAACAGTGTATCCTTCCAAATGAGCTTTTGGTTGGTAGGGAAACATCATGTTTGCCAGGCTTTGCCGGGGTACCCAGGTTAGGCTTTAGAATGTAAGGTGTGCACTGGTCATCACAACCAACTCATGGTGTTGTCTTTCTTCCCCTACAGAAAGCCACCATTAGCCATGTCTCACCCGATAGCCTTTACCTGTTCCGAGTCCAGGCCGTGTGTCGGAACGACATGCGCAGCGACTTCAGCCAGACAATGCTCTTTCAAGGTGAGGCTATCTCCCTCTTCCTCTCACCTGGAGTGCCCTGAACTTTCTCTTTATGCTTGGTCTTTTTTCCTGTGCAGGTGCTTGGGCAAAAGAAAACAAGCCTGGCCTAGGAATCAGCATAGGGTTTTAAACCCCACCCAGAAAGGCCTAGTAATTTAGATGTGTCTTTTAGGTTGGAGGTTTCATAGGTCAGAAGAGGGAGGAAAAGCCAAGCATTTTTTGTTTGTTTGTTTGTTTTATTATTATTTTCTGACTGTGGGGAACCAAGTATTTGGACCTTTCTCCTACATATTGTCTAGTGGGATCACAAAATCACCTCCATGTTGTGTTTTCGAATGTTCTCTTTGGATTTCTACCATGATTCAGCTAGCTATTCTCTCAAGAACTGGAGTCCAAAACTGATACGGCTCCCCCTCCGGACTTGCAAGTCACACAAACAAACACCTGCTTGTTTGTGAACTTCCTGAAGCTGCAGTTTCCCAATCCTAAAAGTGGTAATATTAATAGTACCAACCTCACAATCCTTGTAGAATGACATGGGGCGATGCATGTTAAGTAATTAATCAGCATAGTGCTGATTATTGGTATTATGTATAAACACCCTCTCAGTATTAAGTTTCATGTAAAAAGTAATACGGTGAACACATTGTAAGAAGCCTTCTTGCCTAGGTTCCTTCCAAGAATCCCTTCTAGCTTGAAAATTTTGCATGTAGTATTTAAATATTCTTTGCTAATATTCACATTGATCTCATCCTTCCATTTAAACTAACTGAAATGAGCATAGCTTGCATTTTCATGTAAATAAATCACGCCCACGGTGTCTAACTGGACCCTGAATATATTGGTCCCTTTTGCTGTGTTGAGTTAGGACTACAGACCAAGACCAGGTCTGTGCTGGCTAAGGAGAGAGGAAGAAGGGGGAATCCAGACTGGGAGCTTGCTGAGGCTGGGGCCCTGGAACCTTGGAAACATAAATCATGATTTAAGCCTCCCATGTGCTCTGACCAAGAATCTGGAAACTGCAGAACTGCCTTTCCTGATTAATAGTCCCCTGAGCTCTCTGGCTTCTTCGTGGATTTGGAAATTTAAATGTTTGTAATATAATGTAATTCAAAAAGGCCCTGTCAGTTATAAGTTCAAAGCACAGAATATGTTAAAGGTCTGATCACAGTGACTTGTTGAAAATGGCCAGTGTCTCTTTTGTCTACACACTTGCTTTGCTCAAAGGTGGACATGAATTTAATTGTTATATATATTGTTGTTTATCACTATATGTTGATGAAGGGGCAGGATACTTTATTTACACCTCCCCACAATAGCTTTAGCATCTTCCCTACAACATCCAAGCAGCCAGCGTGAAAAACTGAATCTTAACCAAGGTAAGCTAGCTTACCTTTGCTGGTGAGCCAGGTAGGAGTTTATGAGCAGAAGAGGGCAATATACAAATTTGGTCGATTATTAGGACTTCTGTTTTAAAAGGGAAAGAAAAAAGCTTAGAGAATTTGGTTTGGGAGCAGGAGAAGCCACATTGGAATATTTACCTTATTATAATGTCCTATGTAACATAACAATAAATACGTTATATTTGCCTTCCTGTGATAAATGTAATAATAATAATAGCAAGCAATATTTGCAGAGTGGCTCACAGCTACAGAGCGTTTTCACATAGATTATTTCATCTGAGCCTCACTTTGTGGCAGCTTGTAATGTAGATGTTATTTTACAAATGGGGAAATAATGTTCAGAGTGCAAGGAACTTGAGAAAAATCACTCAGCTACTAAGCAGAGTTTGGTTTTCTTATTCCAAAGCCCAATCATTTATACACAGCAATGGACCACCCCAAACAGTAATTACTCAACACCCCAAGTCTTCAACAGAAGGATAAAAAGATTGATGTCTAAGTGTTCAGAGCTTTTTGGCAATTCTCAACAGTCATGGAAAATGGGAGCTCATGCACTTTTTCTTTGAACCATAGACCCATTAGACAGCCTGGCAAAGCCTACAGATCCTCTTTCAGAATGGTTTTAAATAAATAAGTAAAATACATAGGAAAGGAAACAACTATATTCAAATACAGTTGTCAAAATATGTTAAACAAATTTGGGAAGTAGTAATATGTGGCTTTTTTAAATGAAAATATCAAATTATGAGTGATTGGTCTGTTAGCTACAGTTTTTTTCTGAGTGGTGATGAATGTCAATGATATTCTGAAATAGCTACAACAATGATAAGGCAATATGAAAATATCTGTGCTTTCAATTAGAGGCAAAGTTGTGGGTCCTGCTTTGTGGCTGAGATCAGTTACCCAAATTCATAGTAAGAGCTTAGCAAGGACACAGATGTCATTTTCTTCCCTGTCCCTTAATTCTTTCAGGCCCATGGATGCCAGGTGAAGCACTCCTGATCTGGAAGGTCCTGTAAAAATTTCCTAGTCACTAGGGCTATAACTGACCCTGTGTAGATTGTTCAAGACTAATGAAAAGCTGGCATGCTGATGGAGTGGCTGTTTAGTTTGTTGGCAGAAATTAGAGCCCTTTTTAAAGGGCAGATAAAGCAGGTCTCCTGGGAACCTTTTTTCTGTCTCAATGACAGGAGGTGTGTACACCTGTCTGAGGCAGTGAAGTATTGATCCCTGAGCAAGTCAGTGATTGCGAGAGGCTATATTTAGTCCTGGGTGAGACCCATGCTCTTTGCTTCTGGGGCTGCCTTATTTGACCTGGAATCTAAATGGTTGTATTGACTTTTACATTGGCCTGTTCTCCACATTTTTTTCTTCCCACTCTTCTCTTTCCAATTATGCAAAATGTATATCCTTAAGTCAGGGGTTGCAAACTCAGGTGCCCATAGGGCCAGAGAGGGGATCTGTACATATGAGGGAAAGTGGAGACCATGTGTGCACCTAAAGGGGTGACAGACACTCAGGCACAGCCGAATGTCACCCTGCAGGAAGATGAGCCCCATTTTGCCAATACTGTAATTTTTCAGATAAGCAGGAAATTGAGATTTTTAGATGCAGGTACTGTTTACAATGCTGGTACCAAATTCAGTTTTTACCAAAAGCTTGCAGGATAAACAAAAAACATGTAGGTCACTTGCCATTTCTGGTGTAGATAAAAACCACATCAGGTACAAGTGGTATTTACTTTGGTAATTAGCACTTTTTGTTAAGTTTTCAGTGCCATTTTCTGTTTATGTCGCACTATTGTTTTTTTAAATAAGCACAAAGAAGCAGTTTGACCCAGTTTTTTTTTTTTTTAAAGTTACATTGTTTAGCATGATTCCCAATAGCCAAAAGGTAGAAGCAACCCAAGTATCCTTTGACAGATAGATAGATAATAAAATGTGGAAAACATATAGTGGAATATTATTCAGCCTTAGAAAGGAAAGAAATTCTGACACATGCTTCAGTATAGGTGTACCTTGCGGACAGTATACTAAGTGAAATGAGCCAGTCACAAAATGTATGATTCCACCTATGTGAGGTATCTACAGTGGTCAATTCATAGAAATAGAAAGTAGAATGGTGGTTACTAGAGTATGGGTGAGAGGCAAATGAGGAGTTGTTTAATGGGTATAGAGTTTCAGTTTTACAAGATGAAGTAGTTCTGGAGATGGACGGTAGTGATGATTACACAACAGTGTGAATGTCCTTAACACTTACTGAACTGTATACTCAGAAATAGTTAAGATGTAAATTTTATGTTATGTGTATTTCACCACAATTTTAAAAAAATTTAAGTTATATTGTTTAATAATAACATATGAAAGAACAGAACTGCAGGAAAAAATGAACACCAGAAAGGGTAATGTATGGTTAATAAAAAAATAATTTGACCATTTAGAACAATAGTAATAACTTACAGGATTTAAAAACCTAAGTAGAAGTAAAATATATGACAGTACACAAAAGGTGAGGCAGGCAAATAGAGTTAAATTATTGTACAGTTCTGATGTTTTTAAGAAGTGGTGAAAGTACTAATTTGAGGTAAATTAATAAGTTAGGGATGCATATTTGAATCACCAAAAGGGTAATGCAAGAAGTATGACCAAAAATATAATAGAGGAGGAACAATGGAAAAATATGATTCCATTTAAATGAAGTTCAAAAATAGGCAAATCTCTGACAGAGGTCAGAATAGTGGTTGCATTTGGGGGTGAGGGTGGATATTGACTAGCGGGGGCACAAGCAAACCTTTTCTCCAGAAAAGCACTGGAGAATGTTGGTATCTTAATAAGGGTAGTAGCTACACAGAAGTTCACATATGTAGAATCATTTGACCTATACAGTTAAATCTTGTACATTCTACTGTATGTAAGTTGTACCTCAATAAAATAGAAAACATAAAAATTAAAAAAAAATTTTTTTTTTGAACTAAAAGCTTAAGACAGGGGACAGCAAACTACAGCCTACAGGCCAAATCTAGCTCTCTGCATGTTTTTGTATGACTCACAAGCTAAGAAGGGTTTTACATTTTTAGATGGTTGGAAAAAAATCTACAGAGAAATAATAGTTTGTGACATGAAAATTATATGTAATTCAGATTTGTGTCCATAAGTAAAGTTTTGTTGGAAGCACAACAAAAAGACAATTATTTTATTTACAATGTAGTTTCTTTATTTCTCAGCTAATACCACTCGAATATTCCAAGGGACCAGAATTGTGAAAACAGGAGTGGTAAGTAGAGAACAGGATTTGCTTTGTCATGGCTGGTTGTAAATTTTCATTCAGTTCAAACTGTCACCACGAGGTGGCAGTATAATGCTGTTAAACTGCTCAATGTGAAGAGGTTAAAATAGAGAAAAAATGACCTTCCTCACTTTCTATAATTCAGTGAATTATATATATATATATAAGGTGTGCAACAGTGTTAAATGGTTACATTGCATAATTTCATCAAGATAAAAATCTAGATTTTTATTTATTTTTATCTGTGGGATCAGTCAGTGCAGGAGCACAAAGGAGTTAATCTATTCCAAGCCCTTAATTTCACATATGGTAAAATTCAGAGGTTGTCACCTGCACAAAGTTACATGCATTTTCAAATTTCTGGAACCTGAATTAATATCTCAGTTTTTTCATTCCTGGTACAACAAATAATCATAATACTAACCACAATGGTGGTGATGATAATAGCCTGAAATTCATGAAGCAGTTCCGGGTTTCAGACATAGATTATATTATTTACTCCTTGTAACAGCCCACAAGGTTAGTGTTACTATTATTCCCATTTTACAGATGAGGAAACTGAGGCTCAGTGAGTTAAAGTAACGTGCCCAGTGTCATGCAGAGAGCAAGTGAGGGCTCATCAACTCCAGTCCGAGCAGTCTGACTTATCTGTATTGAGTGCCTTGTCCTATATGGCATTTGGCATTTCGTTAACCATCTTCAGAACTCAACTTTGTTAACTTGATCATCCTTACACTACAAGGTTTTCAAAGCAAAATTTGATGATGACATTGTGAAACCTAAGTTGTTCTGGTTATTGTTTTGAACTGTATAAATGATGGGATGGAACTTTGAATTATCTTCCACAGCTTATAAGAACTAAAGTTAAACTAATAGCTCAAACAATACTTCTCGTTTTCCTAAGATACTTTATGTGCATAAAACCCCACGTTTGACCCTACCAGTTACTATGGGGGAAAGAATGAGCTGAGGTTTGGATACAGGCAGCCCTGCCTTTGCACCTTCCTAGCCATGCACCCTTAGGTAAACTCTTTCACATTGCTGTGCCTCAGTTTCCTCACCTGCAAAATGGGGGTGGGGGGGTTAATCATGCCTGCCTCCAGGTTAGCATGGAAAGGCGTGGCACATAGTTGGCACTTGTTAAATGGAACTCTTGTTATTGTTGTTGATGTTATTTTCATCCATATGGGCATAGATTTCACCATGGAAAAACCCAGAGACTCTGAAAGGTATAGTTACTATGTAGCACCCAACATGGAGATGCAAAGGTGTAAACCAGTTCCCAGAGCTTGGAGTGCAAAGCATGGCTCCTGCTACTGACTTGGCCTCTGCAGACCTGGGCAGGTCACTTTCCCTCTCAGTCCAACCACTTCCTCACTGTGAGATGGTGGAGTTGGACCAGATCCTCCAGGGCCTTTCCAAACCTAAGAGCTGGGTATTCTCCACAAATGCCAGTAACATAAAAGCAAGGGGCCCCTGCCTCTTCCATTGTCACCCTAAGAACAGTTGAGCATCTGAGTTGCCAGTTTATTACTTACTGGTTGTTTATCTTTAAGCCAACTTCAATGCTACTTTTTTGCCACTCAGCCTCATCCTGAGCAATATCAGTGAAAAGTTGAGTTTGATGAACTAGTAAAAATTTTTAACGCACTCAGAATAATTGTAAAACCACTAAAATAAGAGTTGGTTACCCATGGAACACCTCACATCAATTTTTGCTTGGGAAATTCCATAGGATAGGTGAGTGACATCCTTTGAGGGTCACAACCAGAGCCTCCTTCCCAGTCCTAATTACTCTGCTTTTTTCCTGCCCCTTCTCCAAACTTCCGGGTCCCTCTTTTAAGCCCACAGCGTCTCCTGCCTCTTCTGCCGACATGGCCCCCATCAGCTCGGGGTCTTCTACCTGGACATCCTCTGGCATCCCCTTCTCCTTTGTTTCCATGGCGACTGGGATGGGCCCCTCCTCCAGCGGCAGCCAGGCGACAGTAGCCTCAGTGGTCACCAGCACTCTCCTTGCCGGCCTGGGGTTCGGCGGCGGCGGCATCTCTTCCTTCCCCAGCACGGTGTGGCCCACACGCCTCCCGACGGCAGCCTCAGCCAGCAAGCAGGCGGTCAGGCCAGTCCTTGCAACAACAGAGGCCTTGGCTTCTCCAGGGCCGGACGGCGATTCTGTACCAACCAAGGACAGTGAGGGTGCAGAAGAAGGGGACAAGGATGAGAAAAGTGAGAGTGAGGATGGGGAACGGGAGCATGAGGAGGACGGAGAGAAGGACTCCGAGAAGAAGGAGAAGAGTGGAGTGACCCATGCCGCCGAGGAGGGGAACCAGACCGAGCCCACCCCCACACCCTCCTCTCCCAACAGAACTGCCGAGGAGGGTGGGCATCAGACTATATCTGGGCACGAGCAGGACCACACTGCCCTCCCCACAGACCAGCCGGGCAGAAGGAGGGATGCCGACCCAGGCCTGGACTCTGATTCGGTCACCTCCACCCAAGTGCCCCCCACAGTCACAGAGGAACATTATGCAGGGAGTGATCCCAAGAGACCTGACATTCCATCTAAAAAGCCTATGTCCCGAGGGGACCGATTTTCCGAGGATAGCAAATTTATCACTGTTAATCCAGGTAAGTGGTGCTGGTCCTCATTTGAGCTACCATGCTGCTTGTGAACAGTCTTACTCTTTTTTTGAAAAAGTGGGGGTAGGTGCCGAAGATTCAAAAAATACTTAATATTCTCATTATTGTATATGTTGCTGATATAAAAGAGGGGTGGGTGTGTGTGTGTGTGTGTGTGTCCTTATATTATTCTAATAAGAATAACCCACTCTCTTATCTTTGCTGGAATAAGTCTTTCATTGATATTTGTTTCCATGCATCAGAGTAACTCCAAGGACTTCATCTAGACAATTGTGTGTGTGTGTGTGTGTGTGTGTGTGTGTGTGTGTGTGTGTGTGTCCTTATATTATTCTAATAAGAATAACCCACTCTCTTATCTTTGCTGGAATAAGTCTTTCATTGATATTTGTTTCCATGCCTCAGAGTAACTCCAAGGACTTCATCTAGACAATGGCAAAAATTAACAAAAAGGACATCAATCTTAAGAAGTTTATTCACTAAGATTTCATTCCTTATTATTCATTTATTCAACACATCTATTTATGGACAGCCAGTTTTGTGCCAGGCAGTGAGCTAGGTCTATACCAGGCATGGTCCCTGCCTTTTGCAGCTCATAGTATAATGGGAAGACAGATAACAGACGGCAGCTAGCTAGCATGCATGCCTGAAAGTTAGGTAGCAGGAATGTGAGAAAGCAAGCAAACTAGATAGTTAGCTGGCAAGCCAGAAAACTCGCAAACTTCAACTTTTTTTAAATTGTGAAATGGTAAAAGAGGGAATGAACAGGCTGCTATCAAAGAGAATTATGGGAGGACAGGGACCTACCTTAACTACGAAAGGCCAATCTGGAGAAGTGACATGTGTGTTGAAATCTCAAGAACGAAAGCCTCCAGCATAAGGAAAGCTCATATTAGCCCATGCTCCTCGCCTAAGAAATATGGTTCTCTATTCCAGAATCCCATTTGTGTGTGAATTACGCAGTTTATCGACGGTGAGACCAGGGCATGGCTGGTCTGGCCTTGCTTGCTGCAGTCCTCATCTCACTGTTACCAGTGGCAGTTTTATTGCTTATATTCCCAAATCTTAATGAACCATCCAGATAGTTTCTGCAAGGGATCTGTAAGCATGAGGGGTTGTTATTGTTGTGAGGGGTTTTCTTAATAAGAAATTCTTCATTTTGCCAGACTACAAGATGTTTAGCAACAATTTTTTTTTGCGTCTAAGCTGTTGTAGAGTTATGAGTGCAAAAAAAAGCAACTAGTAAATATTTATTTGCTTTTGCACTTGTAAACATTAAAATTCATCTAAAGCTGAGATCTCGTATGTTAAGATACAACTTAGAATAAATTTTCATGTTTTGAATTACTTTCCTCTTAAAGCTCGTATGAACTAATTTTTAGAAGTGGGGTCTCCTATGGGTGTTGCTCAGTTTTGTTGTGGTTTTGGGGAAAGGTACAGAGTAGCCTTTTATGAAATTGAGTGAAGGAAATATGGGGCCACTTGTGAACCTATTCCTATAGGAACAGTAACTTTCCCTCTAGGAATAGCTCTGGAAAACATTTAATTTCTCGCATTTGAAGATATTAAAGAAATATTTATGACATGCCCACTGGATACCAGACACTGGGGTAAGGTTTTGGGGGTAGAATATAGATCAGGACAGACTTCTGTTCTCCTGGAGTTTACATTCCAGTGGGGGAGCTTGAGAATATTCCAGTAAATAAATGCACAAGTTTAAGTAGCATTGAATGCTAGAGTCAGGGAGGAGGACAGTGTAGTACTACTGAGTGGTCAAGTATGACATTTGAGCATATCCAAGCGGTGAGAAGGAGCTAGCCGGGCAAAGATCCACAGAAGAGCATTCTAGGCTGCAGGAACAGTAGGTCCAGAGACCCTAAAGTGGGGATGAATTTGGGTCAGTTGAGGAGCTATCAGAAGACCAGCGTGGTTGGACCATAAGGAGTGAGAAGAGGGTAAGGGATGATTTCAGAGACTAGAAGAGCTCAGATAAGGAAGGGGCTCATCGACCATGCTGAGGATTTGATTCTACTTGAAATGGGAAACCAGTGATAGATATTCAGCAGGGAAGTTACTTACCTAATTAGCTTTTTTGAAAGATCATTTGGGCCTCTGCATGGAGATTATATAGCGGCAAGAGTGAATGCAGAAAACCCAGCTGGGGAGCAATGGTGATGGCAGTTTAGACCAGTGTATTTTCTCCAAAGACAAGTGGTGGACTTGGAATTGATTTTTGAGCTTGAGTAGTTCAGCCTCTGGACTAAGGGCTCTAGCAAGGTGGTATTCTCAGCCTGCTCCTGTTAAACATTTCTCTGACCACACTCCTGAAAAATATGGCTGCTAAAAGTTAAGGTTGGGAGTATTTACAACTTGAGAGACTAGAGAGAGGCAGGGACTGGGAATACTCCAGGTAAGTGGAAATGAATTATTGCCATTGGAGTCATTCCAGATTCCAGGGAAAGGGGAGAAGGAATAGATGGTAAAGCTTGAGGATTCCCAACTCCAGGTATGGGGCATATGGGTCTCCAGCTTCAACCTTCAGGTATCTGAGAGCATCTACAATCTTGGCAGAGTGACTTTTGGAGTCAGACCAACCCCTTATTCACTCAGGTCCTCAGGCAAATCTTTGCTCAGTGTTCTCATCTGTAAACTAAGGGGATAATGACAGCCCTTAGTGCAGAAGGTGGTGTGGTTAAACAGAGTCACCCTTGTTGTCACTGACAAGGAGGAAGGGAGCTATCAGCAGCTCAAATGCTACACAATAACTGTATTAGTCCATTTCTGTTGCTTATAGCAAAATACCCAAAACTGGGTAATTTATAAAGAAATGAAACTTGTTTCTTATAGTTTGGGAGGCTGGGAAGTCTAAGGTCTAGGAAGCACATCTCGTGAGGGCCTTCTTCTGGCTGGGACCTCTCTACAGAGTCCTATGGCAAACAGGGTGTCACATGGTGAGAGAGTTAATCTGCTCACTTGCTCTCCTTTTAAAGCCATCAGAAACCCGCCCATAACTCCATAAATGGAACAATCCTTTACAAGGGTACAGTCCTCACAATCTAATCATCTCTTAAAGGCCCCACCTTTCAAATACCATAATTGAAATTCTTACCCTCTTAACACTGTTACAATAAAGGTCAAGTTTCCAATACATGAACTTTTGGGGGATACATTTAACCCACAGCATTAACAATGGTGACCATGATGAAGCCCCCAGCAGGTCTTTCTTTTGCAATTGGCCGTGGACATTAAAGAGCATGCTGAGACTGGTTCCCAGTTAGCTGACATTAGAAATGACCTCCTGAAACTCCCAGTACATCCACAACACTTGTCCATCAGAGTTTCTCCCTCATCACCTTCAGCTCAGTGGGAAGGTCCTCTTCTTCCTAAAGCAGTAAAAGCTCTTCCTTTAGAATTCCAGGTAATTCAAATTTGAAAGTGGTGGTGGTGATTGTTTAAGCCAGAGATGAGCAAACTTTTTCAGCCAAGTGCCAGAAAGTAAATATTTCAGCTTTGCAGGCCAGAGGTCCTGGTTGTAACTCTTTGATTCTGTCTGTAGCTTGACAACAGCCAATACATAATTAGTGGATATGATTGTATCCTAATAAAACTTTGTTTACAAAAATAGGTGGTGTACCTAATTTGGTCCACAACCTGTCATTTGCTGACTGCTGGCTTATGCGGAAATGTGTGTGTGCCTGTTGGTTAATGAATGATATCAGTAACTTGAGGGTAAAACCAGCAAACCATACATCAACTCAGGATCCCCCAAAGTTTCTCTGTGCTTCCATCCAACCCATCCTTTCCCCTTGTCTGCCTCTAGCTTGTTATTTTAAATCACCATCATTTTAATGTTAGTGGTGATTTATTCTAAAGGCTTTGGGTGTAAATTTGTTTAAATCTGTTTCACATTTTTTTTCCATGTTAAGTAAAAATTATTTTAATTAATATTTAGTCTCTTTGAAAAAAAGTGATAATGTTTACAGTTACAAACTATATTTATATAAGTATCTCCAAAAGGCTTGTTTAAATTCTGTTGATGTTTGAAGCTTTTTTAAGTACAATGAGTAGTAGCTTTAGTATTAAGTCCCACAGGAGGAGTAAAAGGGACTCCTTCTGTGCAAGTAGTAGCAAACTTAGACACATACAGAAATCACACAGGTAATATCAATGAGATAAAAGGACCAGGTGTTAGACATTAGGGACATCAGTGAGGACTGGAGCAAACAAGAGAGCTCATGTCCTTCATGAAGACTGGAGCAAACAAGAGAGCTCATGTCCTTCATGAAGACTGGAGCTAACAAGAGAGCTCATCGGTGAGGACTGGAGCAAACAAGAGAGCTCATGTCTTTTCTAAAGAGGGCCATCTCACTCAGTCCCAATTGATTATTATCAGTAAGAATGCCCAGTGAGACAGAAATCCAAGGTTTTGTGCAGAATTCTGTAATTTTTAAGTGAGTTCAAATTTTAAAAACAATTTTTTTAATATGTGCAAACTAAACACCTGGACTAGGTAGGAAGCTTGACCTCTGCTCTAGTGTTGGCTGCTATAGTTGCAATAGCCCTGGAAGCCTCTCAGAAGGATCTGGAGGCCTCTGTGCAGCCACTCTCTCTCACCAAGCCTTTTCTTGTATCTGTTTAGTGCAAAGCCCTCAACTGGATGTGTGCTACATGGAAATCCAGTATATGCTCCTTCCCTCAGCCTCCCTCAGGAGCCACAGCCTGAACATGGAGGCAGACCTAGAAGCCAGTTTATGTAATAAAATGTTCTTTGGTTGGAATGCAGTACAGCATGCCCCAGCCAAGACGTTTCAGAGTAGGCATGGTCTACAAACCCATGATGTAGTGCTGGTGTTTTCCATTTTCTCTAAATCAAGAAAACCGGGGCCGGCCCGGTGGCTCACTCGCGAGAGTGCGGTGCTGATAACACCAAGGCCCCGGGTTCGGATCCCATATAGGGATGGCCGGTTCGCTCACTGGCTGGGCGTGGTGCT